AATGTGCTTCTTTGTTCCTTCTTCATCCTCTCCACATGCATATGCATTTTAGTTAGCGTCCATGCTTCTTCCTCAAAATCTCGAAGCAGCAGTGTAAATAGGATTATCTCAGCCTATAGTTTAGTACTTGGAAGAGAAAGAAACAAAAGCACAAAATCCCCCACTTCATCCTGCTTTGGAACATTTGGCCAGGGTGTGAAGGATCTGTAGAAACCACATACTGTACTGTCCCCCAAACTTTCTTTCTTTTGAATTCCTACATAAAGTGTGTGTGGAACATCAGATTAGTGTATTGGAAACGCGTGTGTGTGTGTGTGTGTGCGCACAGACCTGCACTGGCTACCTTTCCAGCTGGGAGAAATTGGGAGGGCCCAGGGAGGGGAAGTGCCAGGCTACCTTAGAGGGAGTGTCCAGTATTGCATCTTATTTTTAATGACCTTTCAGGTGAGCTTAGGGCAAAGAAAAGGGCCTTTTGGCCTTTGTTCCAGGAATCCACTCCAGCGCCTCAGCAGTCGGGAACACAGCGAGGCCGGCCGGCCGGCAGCCCTGGGGCGCTCCAGCACCCGGGACAGCGACAGCCGTCCTTCGCGGGCCGGGCTGCCTTTGGAGAAACGCTGGCGCTGACCCTCCCGGACCGGGTCAAATCTCGGGGCTCTCCTAACTCTACGGGGCCCGAGTGGGCAAGGCAGCAGGGCCTTGGGGGTGGGGGGAGGCTTGCCTTCAGCTTCCCGGATGAGGCTCTTGCCGGTTCACCAGAGCCCACATTGAGCCCCTTAGTTCTGCCTGAGGTGCAGTTTCTTTGTAGAAAACATTGTGTTGTCTTCTCAGACCTTTGTGTTGTGGTAGGATACATATCTAAACGCCTAAATAAAGCACCTTTAAGTAACGGAACAAGGAGCACTTCTCACCCTCCCATTTTTCTTAAGTCTGCTAAAATGGCTACCCCCCCCCCCCCCCCNCCACCAGACTCCGAAGGGACACGATCCCTTCAGCCGCGCCCGTTTGTCCTCCTTTAAGGGCGCGCCTGAAGCGATCAAGAGGAAGCATCGAGCATCTTCAACAACCAGACTTTGATCCTACTTAAAGTGCGAGTTTTTTGTTGCTCTCTGCACGGGATCAGAGCCAGAGCCTGGGTTTAAGAACGCTGCGCCTTCACCTGCTTCCTGGGCTGGTCCGACTCCAAACTTCGTTTCCGCCTGTCCACTCTGAGGAACAGACTTCCCTGGAAAGCGCTGGAACCACTTTTAAGCTCTTTCTCGAAAATACTCGGATTGCCTGGCGGCTGGCGGTCAACTTCCTTCCATGTCACAAACTTTTCCTCCCCCTTCGTCTTCCCCTCCCCCTCCTCCTGCGGTTGCTTTTGCAATTGACACTCTGGGCTAACAGACGGGTCTAATATCCGCAGCTCTGCAGAGGTTAAGAGGCCTGGGGCGAAAGGCGGGGAGAGGGGGAGGACGGGGAGGCTCTGACGGGTGGAGAAGTCGGATTAAATACGGCGCTTTGTAAGTATTTACAATTACATTTAATCTCTGCTTCACACGTTGTTTGTTGTTCTTTAGTACAGCAATTCAGATTACAGCAACCCACAGACCACCCAAGCCGGTGAATAACGTAGAATAAAACAATCAACGAAATAGCACTTTTTTTTTCCAAATAAAAATGCATTCCATCAAATTCACACCAAAAAGAAAACTCTCTCTCCCTCTCTTAGATTGCAAGTATATTAAAGCCAGATATAAAGCTCTCGTCCGCTACCCGCTTCTGCGTTCGGATCCTGTGCAAAGGATTCGCCTTTAAAGGGGCTTGCCTGGCTTGCCTCCCACCACAACGTTTAATGCTGTAATGACGGCTATTAAATATTTAACCACACATTTGTTTGCGGGGGGAGCGGGCAGGGAAGAGGGCCAGGTTTGTGGGGAGTTGCGGGAGCCGCTCCGCCTGCCGAAGGAAGGAGAGGCCCGGCCGTGGCTCCGGTTACCAGGGCAAAGTCTAATTAAAGGCCACGGATGGGGAGGGGCCGTCCTCTGACCGTCCGGACTTGCAACGTTTATTGGTCACAAGGTAGGATTCAATGTGTCTGCTTTAAATAATTAAAAGTCGAGGAATAATTACCAAATCACATTGTAATTATGGCGAGCGATCCGCTCCTGGAAAGGAGAGCGCGGCTCGGGAGGCCAGGCCAGGTTATACCGAGCTGCCTCGCAGGATTATTCCAGCTCACCTTTTACGAGGTGCTGGAGGGGCGAGGGAGATTTGGGGAAAGGGGCGGGCAGGGGAAATTCCTCGCATTCATAAGCAGCACCCACTCGAGGGTCCCCGGGCTAGCGGCTGTTCTCTGCCCACGATCGCCTGGGAGAATCGGTTCAACTTTCACAAAAGCAATGAAAACTCCTTTAATTGTCAAAAACCCCACACAACACACACACACGCACGCACGCACACACGCCGTTGCCCCTCGAACTGCCGTCCTCCTCCTAGCATTTAACGAATCCTGTCATCTTCACCAAAAATAAAATGATACTAATAAAATAAACAATAATAATGCTTTTTAAATCTCCCCCCTGCCCACAACCACGTCTTGTCCCCATATCTGCTTCTCAAGGACAAATTGCGCGTCCTGCTAATCAACTCCCAAGCAGCCACTTTCCCTTTCAGAACAAAGCGCCGGAATATGGAGCCCAGATGCCGGGGCGAAAGGCGAACGCTGTTGGCTGCCGAGCCGGAGCGCCCGCGCCGCAAAAGTGCTCGCCCGAGGGCGCCAGCCTGGGCCGTTATTAACTTCTGTTTGATTAGTGTAATTGCTCAAATTTGGGGCCGGACAGTATGATTAATTACAGTTTAATTAACGCGTCCATTAAGAGCACTTAATGCCAAGATGCTTTTAGAAACAGCCTGAGGAATGGAGCGCCGGGAAGGGACGAGGCGGGGGAGAGTTTTTCATTATAACGTTTCAATGTATTTATTGTAGTTGGGGGGGGGGGGATGAATATCCCTGCAACGAGTTCAACGCGAAGAAGAGGGCGGGGGCGGGACGCCCGGAGAGAGGAGGAGGAGGAGGCATGCAGTCGGATAAGAATAACATCCCAAATAGAATAATCATAACAACAACAGCAATAATGCCAACGTCTCCACTTAATGCCTCTTTTCCAGCTTGAGTTTCGGGGCCAGGTGTGTAGCGGCGCTTCATCTGCACTTCCTTCCCCGGCATATTTTTCTGGCAAGCCCGCGCTGGGCCCGGGGGGGGGGGCGAAGGGGTCCGAGCGCTCGGCCTCCGCCAGCCCCTCTAGGGGCTCCCTGGTCGAACGGAGGGCTCGGGCGCTTTCGTTGGGGGGCATCGTGGCCAAAGGAAGCAACGGGGGAACCTTTTGGGGGACCATCTTCCCAAAGGCGGCATATATCGGCCTTGGATTTCAATCAGGGGTGGCGGGTGTCTTTTAAGAACCCCCCCCCGCTTCGTTCCCAGGGCCAGGTATCCGGAGGGGAAGAGCCGGGAGGCTTCGGTCAATGAGCCGGCCGGCGCCTCCCTAGTTTGGCGGGTTCTTCGGCAGGTCCACAGGCGGCGTTTTCGGATAATTTGGTGGTTATTCATTGTTTACTTCCCCCTCCCCCGGTGAGAGATTTCCCGATTCAAGAGAAGGCTCCCCCCCCCCCCCCGCGACGGAGGGACAGGCCGGCTCTTTCCACTTGCTGGTCTAAATGTTGTGCCTGACGCTGCTTCGATTTCCCTGCCGGCTCCACGACTGAGCCAGGCCGGGAAGGGGAAACGGATTCCGCCCTTCGAGGGAAGGGTTAGGGTTTCTTCGCCCCGCTCCCCTTGCTTATTATGGGGCAGAGAGTAAGTAGACCGTTTTTAGAGCTGCACCCAAATATTGCGCCTTCCACCATCGCTTCGGACTGGCCGACACTCAGGGGTGTGGGGGGGGGGGGAAGAGTGTCTCGCCAGCAGCCTGGATCTAAGGAGCCCCCCCCCCCAGTCGTCCTGCACCTAGTCCTCAACTGAACTCCCGATCAGGCTGCCCCCTCCGTCCCTCGCGCCAGACCCCCGAGAAAGCGAAGGCGGGTCTGCGGGGCCCGGAGCTGTTCAAGGCGCGGGGCGGCGGCGATGGGGACTGCCGTCGTTTATAGAAAGGAGAAGAAGAAGGGCCGTTGCTCTGCCGCGCCTGCGACTCGCAGAAGGAAATGCGGAGCGCGCGGGGCAGAGACCACCTTCTGGGGAGACCGCCGGAGACCCCGGGGAGCCAGACTTGATTTTTCCCCTCCCCCTTTCTTGTTGGGCTCCCCCTTTCATTCCCCCTCCCCATATTTTTATTTGCCACACTACCGAGACGGAAACATTTTCGTGCCGGGTTGTGGAAGAGGACTTTGGAGGGGTGGAACTCAGGCGCCCCTCTGCCCACCGACTTCCCCGAGCCCTCCCTTCCCGGAGCCTCTTGCCCTTTAAGGAAGGCCCCGACCTGTGTGGCGCGGGGGGGGGTGTGCAGAGGAAGCCTCGCGCGTTCGATCCCGGGCAGGGGTCCTTCAGGGGGCCCGGCTAAGGAAAAGGAAAGGTGGGCGGCCAGCGGGAACTCTTACCTTCTCGCTGCCGGCGGCTCCTTGCTGCGAGCTTCCTCCTCCTCCTCCTCCTCCTCCCCCCCCCCGTGCTGCCCCTCCTCCCGCCAGCAATCTGTCTTTTCTTAAGGAAGCCCATCTGCCTTTGGATTGACTGCCCACCGGATGATTGACAGGCGTCCCGGCGGCGTTTCGCGCAACGGTGCTAAGTGGGTGTTGCCCGCCCGCCTGGCGCAGAGTTGCGCTGCCGGCGGAGGAGAGGGAGCAGCGGCTCCAACGAAGACTGGGACCCGCCCGCCTCCGCCGCCGCCTCCTCCCCCCGCCTCCCTGCCTTTCTCCCCCCTCCTCCTTTTTTCCTTTTTTTAAAGCCGAGCCATGCGGTCAGCCGCCCGCCCGCCTCGCCAAAGCCGCGGACGGAGGCGACGGGCGGGAGACCGCCAGGAAGAAGCTCCATGAAAGTCGCCGCCGCCGCGGCCGGGACCTTCGTCGTCGCGCCTCTGCAGGGGCCGCCCGTGGATCTGGCCGAGTGAGAAGCCCCCGCCGCCCCCGCCGGTAAGCCAGGGCCCCGGGCAGGCGCAGCTGGGGGGTCCCCTCCCTCCTCGCCCCTGCCGCGACCCCCGCTCTGCGCTGGGGGGCTTTCGGGAGATCCGGGCACCGCGGCGAAGAGACAGGCTGCCCTTGGCGGCGGCGGCGGCGGCGGCTCTCCGGGCTAAGGGAGGGTTTTCCCGCCGCCTCCCCCCCCCCTTTCTCAGGGGGCCTCGCATAGCTGGACCGCGCTCAGTTCAATGTGGTTCCGTTGCTCCCGCCTCGGGGTGGACAGGCGCTCGCTCTCTCCCTCCCTCCCTCTCTCTCTGCTGTCTGCAGGGGGGTCCCAGAGGCAGCGGCTGCGCGGCGTCCCTTTCTCGAAGGGGCCTCGGAGGGTCTCGGGGATAAAGCCCCTGCCCAGAATGCCCCCCGGGCAGAGACCCGGCTAGCAGCACCAGGGCCCCCGCCCCGTGTGGGCGCGCGCCTCCCTCCTTCGGGGCGGAGGTCCTGGGGAGAAGCGGCCCGTCCTTCCTTCCGCCCGGGCGCCTCGGCGGCGAGGTTGGGGCGAGAGGTCGGGAGGGGGACGGCGGGGATTGGACGGCGCTTCTCGGCTTCTGCCGAAGGGAAGGAAACGAAGTTTGCGTCCCCGCTCGAGAGAGGCGGGGAGGCTCGGCCGATTTGCTCTAATTCCCCGAGAGCCGCCTTTAATCCCGGCCTCTCGGTTTTCTTTGCCGCCGGAGGAGGCCCTCGGGGCGCTTAGCGGGGCTTTGGCGTCTCCCGGGCAAGTATTAGAGGAGCGGCGGGGCCGGATTAGCCGCGGCGGCTGACCCGCCTCTCGACCGAGCCCTTCATCCCCTTCAGAGATGAGAAACTTCGGAAGGAAAAAGAGGGCAGCTTCCTCCGTCGCCCGGTGACCGGGGAGCTGCCGGCCGATTTCTAGCCTGGGCCGGCTGGGCTCGGCCGCGGGGCGACCCCCGAGCAGGAGGGACCCGGCACTGGGGCTAAAGGCGTCGCCGCGCTAAGGCAGGATTCCTGCTCCGGCCGGGGAGCGGCTCCTTCAGCCCTTCGGCCCCAGCGGGTCTGCCGAGAAGGGCGCGAGAGACCCTCTGGCCGACAAGAGGCCGGACAGCCCCTCGCAGGTGTAAATCCTCCCCGAGCCTCCCGCCGGGAAGCCTCCGCTTTCTCCCTCCCCCTCCTCCCCCCCGCCGCGCCAACAATGACCAGGATCCCGTCCTGTGTAATTGCAATTCGTGGCTTATAATATCTTGATTTTTAATCCGTCTTTTAAAAGGGGGGCAAGAAAGCGGGAAGGAACAAACGCTGCGAGGAGAGCTCCTTCGGGAGCGGGCTCAGCCCTCCGCTTCCCCAGGCTGTTGGGCTCTCAAGCGGCCTCCGAAAGGAACCGGGCCTCGGGCCTCCGTTCAGGCGGGCGCAGGCGTTCCCCCGCCTCCGCCTGTTCTTCTCCGCCCGGAGAGCTTCCGAGGGAGACCCCCGGGGAGGGGGCGGCCTGGGCTGCGGCAGAGGCCCTCCCGCTGAACGTCGGCGGCAGGCCGGCCCCCGCCCCGGCCCAGGGTGGCGGCGGCGGCGGCGGCGGCGGCTCAGCTTCAGTCCGGCCGTCCCCGGGCCCGGCCGTCCAGCTGGCCGGAGCCTCGCTCAGCGCCTCTCCCGCTTCCTCCTCCTTTGCAGGGGTCCGGCCGCCCGCGGCAGAGATGGAGCCGCTGGCCGCCGCCAGTCAGCTGGGAGCGGGGCGCGAATCTGGCTCCTCCTCCTCCTCCTCGTCCTCAGCTTCGTCCTCTTCCTCGTCCTCCCCTCACTCCAAGCAGGAGCTGCAGCCCTACGCCGGCCCCGGCCCTCTGAAGCCCAACCAGGTCGGGGAGACCTCGCTCTACGGCGTCCCCATCGTCTCGCTGGTCATCGACGGGCAGGAGCGCCTCTGCCTGGCGCAGATCTCCAACACGCTGCTCAAGAACTACAGCTACAATGAGATCCACAACCGTCGGGTGGCGCTGGGCATCACCTGCGTGCAGTGCACGCCGGTGCAGCTGGAGATCCTGCGCCGGGCCGGCGCCATGCCCATCTCCTCGCGCCGCTGCGGCATGATCACCAAGCGCGAGGCCGAGCGGCTCTGCAAGTCCTTCCTGGGCGAGCACAAGCCGCCCAAGCTGCCCGAGAACTTCGCCTTCGACGTGGTGCACGAGTGCGCGTGGGGCTCCCGCGGCAGCTTCATCCCCGCGCGCTACAACAGCTCGCGCGCCAAGTGCATCAAGTGCAGCTACTGCAGCATGTACTTCTCGCCCAACAAGTTCATCTTCCACTCGCACCGCACGCCCGACGCCAAGTACACGCAGCCCGACGCCGCCAACTTCAACTCCTGGCGCCGCCACCTCAAGCTCAGCGACAAGGGCGCCGCCGACGACCTCAGCCACGCCTGGGAGGACGTCAAGGCCATGTTCAACGGCGGCACCCGCAAGCGGACCTTCTCCCTGCAGGGCGGCGGGGGCGGCTCCTCGGCGGCCAAGAGCGCGCTGCACCCGCCGCCGCCCGCCCCGCCTGACCTGGCCCCGGCGCACAAGAGCCTGCGCTGCAGCGGCGGGGCCGACGAGGCCCCCGGGACGGAGCGCGGAGGACTGGGCTTGCCCCCCGGGGCGCACGGCCCGGCCGCGGCCGCCGTACGAAGCTACCCGGTCATCCCGGTGCCCAGCAAAGGCTTCGGGATGCTGCAGAAGCTGCCCCCGCCGCTCTTCCCGCCGCCCTACGGCTTCCCCGCCGCCGCCTTCGGCTTGTGCCCCAAGAAGCAGGAGGACCCCCTGGGCGGCGGCGGCGGCGATCCCAGCAAGGCGGGCGCCCTGACGCAGGGCCTGTTCTGGGGGCCGCCGCNGCCGCCGCGGCCGCCGCGGCCGCGGCCGCGGAACCGCTGGGACTGCGCGGCCACGTGGACCTGGAGGGCTCGGAGCCGTCTGGCAGCGAGCGGAGCAGCGCCACCCCGCAGGAGGGCTGCGGCGGCACCGGCGAGGGCGAGCGCTGCCCCAGCGCCCTCTCCAGAGCCACGGCGGCCCTCGGGGAGGAGGAGCGCTCCGGCGACGAGGCCCTGCTGGCGCCCCTGCCGCTCCCCAGGAAGGGCAGCTACCTCTCGGCCTTCCGCCCGGTGGTGAAGGACGCCGAGAGCATCGCCAAGCTCTACGGGACCAGGGAGGTCTACGCCGGCCCGCGGGGCTGCCCGGGCTACCTCTCCCCGGACTTCCTCAGCGAGGGCAGCTCCAGCTACCGCTCCCTCTCGCCCGGGAACGAGACGGCGGGCGAGCCGGACGTGGACGTGGAGACGAACCGCTTTGCGGAGGACGACGACGAGGACGAGGAGGAGGACGAGGCGCCCGGGGGAGACGCGCCGCCGCCGCCGCCGCCGCTCTTGCCCGAGGCGGACGCGTCTCTTGCAGCAGCCCCGGGAGGAGGCCTGGCCACGGCGGAGAAGGCGGCGGAACCGGAGGAGAGTCCCTCGGAGAGGACCAGCAGCCGGGCTGGCTACGAGGTACGTGGGGCCGCGGGAGGGGAAGGGTCAGGCGAGGGAGCGGGCCGGACTACCGGGCTACAGGCGGATCGGCATCCGCTGAAACGGGGCGCTTTGAAAGGGGAGTCGTGGAGGCTCTGCGAAGGGCGCTTGGAGGAGGGGAGAAAGCCTCAAAGCGGTAAAAGGAGGGCGGTAATACCCGGACGGAGGCCGTGGGAAGGGGCCGGCGGAGGCCTGGCCGTGCCAGACACGTTTCACTGTCCCGCCTGAGGGCGCTTATTTTAGGGGAGAAAGGGGCTTCTCCTTTGGCTGGGTTGAGACACCAGGCCGAAATCACACGGGGCAGCCCTCTCTTCAAGCCCACTATATCTGCAGATCCAGAATAGATTGTATGTGTGTTCTTGTCTGTGTGTATCAGTGTTGACTTCTGGCACCGCTTGGACAAGTCCCTGCAGTTTTGTTAGCTATTTTTTTAGATAATTATTTGCCATTATCTCCTTCGTGGGGCTGAGAGAGAGTGACTGGCCCATGGTCACCCAGACCCAGGCAGGACTCCTGGTTTGTAGCCTGGTGCCTTAACCAACACACCAGACTGGTTTCCTACCAGGGGTTTGAAGCAAATTCTCCAGCAGCCGAATGAGAAACCACCCCAGGCCCCGCCGAATTGGTGACCACCTTCTACCTTTCCATGGCAGAGCGGCGTTTCAGCACCACGAACAGCGCCCGCCCAATCTGGTCTCGGGAATGTGGGGTGGGGGGCAGGGAAAGAGGGCCGTCGGGAGCTCGCCCGGGGGAGACCTCGCAGCCAACCTGCTCCCCCCCCCCCACAGCCGCTGTTTAAAATGCAGCTGCTTTTAATCGCCTTGCTCTGAAAAAGCGAGGCAAAGCAATGGAGGTGAATTTGTCTGGCAAATATGAGGGAGGGGGCGGGGGTCTGCTGGGGACCGGTTCCAAAGCCTACGAGAGAGTTAGGCGAGGAGTAGCCGAAGGGGGAGAATAAGCAGAGGCGCCTAAGTAGGCTCAGGAGGGGAGGGCGAGAGCAGCCCCCGACCCGTTGGGTTTTTTTTTTCCAGCTCAGACAAACAAATCGGGGCGTTAAAAAGGCCCTGGACACTCTCACTTTGGGGCCTTCATCCAGGATGGGGATGTGGGTGTATGAAAGTTCTCCCCCTAGCTGAACGGGGGCTCTTTCTCTTAGCTCCGTTCTGGCCATCTTCGGATGGTTGGGACCCAAAGCGTAGCTATCCCAGCCTCTGTCCAGAAGCCGACCAGCTTCGAAAATTGCTATGTCCGTGGAATTTCCCGCTGTTCGCCTTTGAACACGGGAAGTTTGGAGTCAGATCTGTAGAACTAAGAGGAAGAGAGTCTAAACCCGGATCTTACCTTGGAGCGGATCGAAATACGATTGCTGGGGTCGGTAGTGGTGGGCCCGGCCCGGTGTGTGTGTGTGTGTGGACTTTTAATGCTAAAGGTGCCCTCTTCAGTGGAGACTTCTTTTGAGCTGGGGAAAGATCCTTTTTTTCTGGAGCACCAACAGTATAATTAGGACGGGCATTTCCTGGGCTAACCCCCCCTTCCTTAAGAAGGACAATAAATTGAAGGTCGGTGGGTTTTTCTTTCCACTGAATTACGGAAAATGGCTCCGAGGCACAGCGGAAGAGCGAGTGATCTCCAATTTGGCCTCTCTTTGAGCAGTGGAGTATGAATTCGTTTTATTGTGTTCCTGGACTCTCGGCCACGGTGGGATTTCCTGCGCCAGAGTCCTGGGAAGCAGAGCTAAATTCTGACGGTCAGTCAGTCGCGCATCCAGCCAAACTCTGCCTGTCTTTTCCTTTGCAGGCCTATCCTCCGGGGAGAGACCACTGTCCGCAAGCGCTCAAAGCCGTTGTCTCCCTGGGCCCACCCAGCACTCCCTATCCCTGCGCCCCAGAGAAAAACGGTACGAATAAGCCGCAAGAACGATACCTCGGTGCGGGGCTGGAGAGGACAAACGGGGTGGCTGAGGGAAGCCCCCGGCCCTAAGTCCGGACGCCAGACCTCTTCCAAGGGCCCCTTCGCCTCAACGGGCTTCCCGCTAGAGTCGGCCTCCTCCGGAAGCGAGGGTCTTTCGGGCCCAGGGCCCCCGCCACGGCCGATGAGATTGTCTTGATTCTGGGCCTTCTTTCCTTTGCCGTCATTCTGAGGGAAGGGAGCGCCCCCCCCCCGTTACTAGCCTTGCGGGGCCCGGACCTCGCCCCTGATTCCCCAGCCGCCCGCACCTGTCCGGGCCAGGCTTGCGGCGGGCCTGGCGTGGCTCCTGGGGAGGCGGGCGAGGCGGGCCAGGGACGTTAAGGGCTCCTGGAACGGCGGCGAGCTCCTTCCTAAGGACTCGGCCGAGATGCTGTGGCCGAGGCGGGCTCCGGGCGAGCTCTCGGTCCTGAAACCGCTTCCTTGGTTCGAAGACCCCGAAGACGATCCCTCGGCCGCAGAGGAGCCGGAGGGCAGGAAAGCCTCGCCGAGGCAAAGAAGCGCCTCGCAGCCCAGCCCGACTCAGGCCGAGCGAGGTAAGGGGCTCGGGCCCTGGGCGGCCTTTACAGAATGCCAGACTGACACCGAGGGGGCGGGCAGAGACGCCGAAGGGGGTAGCCGAGGCGGGACTGGCGGGCCAGGCCAACAACCTTTGCCAGGGATTGGGGCAAAGGCGCCGCGGGTTGCAGCCAGGAAACGGCGCTGATTGACAATGGAAAACGCGGTTCAGCTAAGCGCAGACGAGCGGGCCCTGCCGAGACCCCGAAGCAGCCCCCCCCCCCAAGCGGCTGCGGAACCTTCCCTGCAGCCCGACACCCGTGTTCCGGCCAGGGGGAGGGGAGGACCTCTGCTTAAGGGCGCGTAACAGCGTGCGTGGAAAAGAGGGCGGAGGCGGGACGGGGGGGGGCTCCCGAGGTTATTAAAGGACTGCCAGTTCCATTGACCACGCTGTCGGGGAATGATGGGAGATGTAGTATCTATCTTAGTATCGGAATCGTCCTATTGACCGTTTAAATTCCCTGGCTCGAAGCGCTGCTCGCCCGCGGATCCCTCCCCCCCCCCGGGGCTTTAACGGCAACCAGGGCCCCGCGTTTGGCGTGTCGGTGGCCGAGGGACGGGCCGAGGCAGGGAGAGAACTGCAGGGATTCGTCCTGTAGAGGCTCAACCCTTTGGCGCCGTCCTCCACCCTCCATTTCGATTCGGCGGGGGCGGGGGGGGCTCTGCTGAGTCAAATCGGGTGACCGAAAGGGGCTCTCGGGGACGGCCCGGCCTGGCGCCCCCCTCGCTGCTTTACCCTTCCGGCGGCCCAGCTTCGTGCCCGCACCGGGACATGTTGAGGGCGGCAGCGGCCTTGGCGCCATTTACCTCCCACCTTCCGACGGCCCAAGTCGGGTTTTCTCCGCAGCAGCAACAGCAGCAACAGCAGCCTTCCTCGACGGAAGCCGGTGTGTCTGCTCTGGCCAGGGGCGGCGGGGGGGGGCGGTCTTGGTCGGCCGCCTTTGCTGCCGCCGGGCCCTTCAGGGCCTTCCCTGATGGAGCAAGTCCCGCTCTTCCCCGGGAGCTTTGCGTCCTGGACAGTACAGACGTCCTGGATGCGCGCTGAGCCATCCCCACGCGCGGTTCTCCGAAGGGGTCTCCTCGGTAGCGCTCTGGCCGGGTTGCCCTCCGCCCGCGCCTCCTCCCGTCGGTTGGCGCCAGAAGGGAAAGCCGAGGTCCCGCAGCAGATTTCGAAAGACTGGCGGGAGGGCGGGGCGGGCAGGGAGCTGAAATAGGATAAGGGGCGATTTGTTCTGACAGGTGTCACTGAATCTGCGGCTCCTGAGGATCGTTCTAGAATCCAGAATAGTTTCCTCGTTTATCCTGCTTCCTCGTGTCAAATGGCAAAGTTATTTAAAGCCCTACAAACTAAAAAACACACACACATGCACGCACACACACACACAAGAGAAAGAATAAAATTCCTTTAATAAGATCCAGCAAAATGAAAGATTCGAATTTAGTACCTATTAGCGTAAACAAGCAAAGTCGAGGAAGAGTAAGCAGAATAAATGAAAGGCAGAATTCGGTTCTCCAGGAGTCCCGAGGCTGTTGGAGGGGGGGGGGGGAGAGGCCTAGGCTAATGACAGCCTATCCACACGTGAATGGACCCATGCTAGCGTTCACGTGAAACTACCGCCTTCCTACAAGGATTCCCCATTCTGAACCCTGGGAGGCAAAGGAAGCCGGTCAAAAGCGCCCTGGGACCTCCTCGCCCTGCGGCCTCCTCCCTCGGGGGGGGGGCTCCTGTCCCGGCTAAAGCGGGGGGGGGGGAGCGGAAAAGGGACCCCGGGCGGGACCGAATTTCGGGATTTCTCTCCTTTCTTCTAGGTGAGGAAGTGACCCTCCTCGACGTCACTGGGACTCAGCTGGGGGAGAAGGACCTGGGCGCTCTGGCAAGAGGTAGGGGATTCGGGATTCGGGATGAAGGCGGCCCTCGGGCTGCACCTTCCGAATCAGAGGGCGGAGAGGGAAACGTTTCCAAAGGATTCGGCGCAGTTCCGCTTTTCTATGCGGTCTGAAGCTTTGGTTAAGGCCGCTTCTGTCCCTGCCCTGCACACGCATTGAGCGAGGAACCGGCAGGACTTTTATTTGTCCGCCTAAACGGCAGACCTAATCCAGGTCTCTACTCCGCATCTCAGTTTGGTCGCTTTCTGTTGGCTTCTGTTGGCTCTTGGCTTCTGGCCTCAAAAAGCTAAGTAGGCTCAGGCTTTGGATGGAAGACCACCAGGAGATCTGTGAAATTTAAGATCTCAACGAAACGCCCCACAAGAAGACTTCCATAAAGTCATCAGAAGCCAGGCTGAAGTCAAGAGAGTTTACTTTTATCTTGGCATTTCCACTGCTCTGGGGCTTGGCAATCTAAGGATGGAGGCCAGCTCTGAGAAAAGGAGGTAGGGAAAGGGCTGTGTGTGTGTTTGGCAAGTCTCAGAGCAGGACACAAAGGGTTTTCTGCCCGGACTGGACTGCAAGGGGGATTTGCAGGGGTTCTCAGGAGGCACTTTGGGATGGTTCGCCCCATCGGCTGTTACAACTCCAGAGCGGTTGGGAAGTTGGCAATTCAGGCATTATGGAAATGCTCTCTTTGGAGCCTACATGGGGGAGGGGCTATCCATGCTATAATAATGTCTGGAGGAGGCAGCCTTTGGAGCCCTGGGTTAGGGTTGTCCTACCAGGTGCAGCTGAATGCCAGACCTGTTCAGTTACTTCTTCCTGGAACACAGTTCAGGTTTAAAAGGAATCCCCCACAAAGCCTAGGAAGATCTAGCTATACTGTGCAGAGGTCATCATAAGCAAAAGTCCCTCTCCAACACAGCTGGGCGCCTGGTAGATTCAACCATTTGGAAGGGAGCTGACACTGCTCTTTTTTTGGGGGGGGGATATCCCCTCTTTAATTACAACCTAGTCTACAGCTCTAGCATTTACAGGTGGTCTCCCATCCTTGCCTAAATCCTTCTCCCCCTGGCTCGGCTTTTCGAGATCAGCTGAGGTCAACTGCCTTGCCTGTGGGTGGGCGTGTTGCGCCTGTGTATGTGCAAATAAACAGATGTCCATATGCATCACTATAGGCAAGTGAAAATTACATTTTCCCTTTAATTGGAGATGAGGCATTTACTGCCTCCCCCATGGAAAGAGGCCTCTATTTCAGGGATCCCTTAGCAGACCTCCTTAATCCTGCCCCCCCCCCAACTGCCATTACTCCTCCTTTCCCCCCCTCCGCCAACAGACGAACTGCAGAGACTCCTCCTGGAGCAGATGGACCTCAGGAAGAAATTGGAACGGGAATTCCAAAGTCTCAAAGGTACCTTCCGCCTCCCCCTCTCGCGGTCCGTCCAGAAGACGCCCCCCCCCCCCGCTTTAGGCTTTTCCCGACTGGTTCCTCGCCCCTGCGCTGGGTGGCGCCGATGCCGGCTGCCGGGTTGCGCGGGGGCGGCAGGGAAGGAAGCCCCGGAGGCGGGAAAGGCTGCGCTTCCTTGCCCTCCGCCTGTTCCCTGGGCGAAGACTCGGCCAAGGAAGAGCGGGGAGCAAGAGGAAACTCGACCCCCCCCCCCATGGAGGCGGAGGGTCTCTCGCCCACCTGGATGACTGAGGGCCGGGGCAGTCTAGCCTTGGTTTAGCCCCGGACTAAGCGAACCTGGTTAGTTTGGTTAGACTGTGCCGATGAACGGGACTCGCAGCGGGCGGCGGAGGGGCTGCCCGCGGCCTCCTTCCAACAGCCCCTCCTCGCTGCCCGCAGACAACTTCCAGGACCAGATGAAGCGGGAGCTGGCCTACCGGGAGGAGATGGTGCAGCAGCTGCAGATCGTGCGCGGTGAGCAAGGGCTGCGGGCTTCGAGTCAGCCCGGCGGGGCGAGGGGGGCTGGGGCGGGGGGCGCCCCGAGAGGCCGCTCCTTTGTCGGCCCCGCCCGAGCTGCTCCTGTCCTCCGCAGACACCCTGTGCAACGAGCTCGACCAGGAACGGAAGGCCCGCTACGCCATTCAGCAGAAGCTCAAAGGTGGGTGGCAGCCTCTGCGCCAGAGCGCCCGAGGGCAGCGCCGTCGGTGGTCGGACGCGAGGAAGCTGGCAGGGATGGTTCCCGGCCCTCCCGGCCCTGCGAACTGGCCGAACGGAGAGCTGAGACATCCGCGCCCTCTGGCAGAACCAGCCGGCCCTGAGCGGGAGTCAGGCTGGCCGCCTCTGGCCTCTAGCCCGTCGCGCCTGCTGGCCCCTTAACGCGCCCGCTGAAGCACCAGCCCCGGCGGTCTAGCTGGGTAACGGAGCCTCAACTGCAGGAGCAGCGAGGACCCTCCGACTCTTCTCCTTTATTGACCCGCTTAAGCCTCTTGCGCAGAAACAGCTGTAAGATTTCGGGAGCCCTTTCAGCGCCCCAGGAGGAGACCAGTTACCAAATCTCTCTCTCTCCCCCCCCCGCAGAAAAGTTGTCAAATCCGATGCCGGGGGGAGGGGTGAAAGTCCGACTGGATCCCATTCGCTTTGGGGCCCACACTGGATTTGCCCCTTGGCCCGAGAGGTGAAGCCAGCGCTTCTGGTTCCTTTACCTGGCCTCCGGCTGAGTTTTCTCCCCTTGGAATCCACCCGGGCAAAAGGGAACCGGCCTTGCCGCCTTTTGTACACCTCCCGCCGCCCCCTTTGTTTGGACGGGCGCCGCTCAGGGATTGCCTTCTAGGAGAAGGTCTGGCCCAGCTCTGGACAGGAGACCCGTCCCATGACGGGGAAAATTACGCCCGGCTCAGGAGTTGCGGGGTGTCTGCAGGATACGGCCAATACGATCGTCTTGGCTTTTTTGGCCATAGCCTCGAGACACCCCCCCTCCCGCATCTGGCTGGTCTGGAGCAGAGCTCGTCAGTCCCTGGACGGGCCGCCCCCGGCCTTCCCGGGGAAGAGAACTCGTTTTCGCGGTACTGCCAGCCTTCGGCCTCGGTTGGAGGGGGGGCTGGCCTGGGGAGCGCCTCTTCCGGGGAAGGGAGGGGGAGGCGGGCAGGGTCCTTTGCTGGGCCGGGAGTGACGGAGCCTCTTCTCTCGCTTCCCTCGCAGAGGCCCACGACGCGCTGCACCACTTTTCCTGCAAGATGCTGACTCCCCGCCACTGCGCTGGCAACTGCTCCTTCAAGCCCCCCTTGTTGCCCCAGTGAGGACCTCCAGCCCCCCCCCGAGATCCCCTGGACGGGGAGGGGCGCCAGCGAGGCTCGAGGAACGTCCGAATCCAGCAGAGACTCGTGTAAATAGAGCCCGGAAGAGCGCCCTCGGAGTGACTGCTTCCCGGTCGTGTAAATAGAAGTGGCGCCGGACTGGATCGGGACCTTGAAGGCGAACGAGACTGCCGAAGGGCCGGGCCGGGCCGAGGGGCAGATCCAGCCGGCGCTCAGGGCCCGGCGGGTCTCTCCCCCCCCCCTCCGCTGCGCCCTCGTCGCTCCCGCCCCGGCTCGGAGCTGGGGGTCGGGGGGGGTCTCGCTCCGGGCTCCTCTCCGAGGGGCGACGTGCAGCGGCTACCGGCGCAGCTGCGGGTCCCCTCCTTCCTTCCTCCCTCCCTCGCGCTCCAGCCTCGGCCGCCTTCTTTTAATCGACTCCTTTCGGGCTCCGTTGGCGGCGCCCGGTCCCCCCCCCCGTAAACGGTTGATGCAGCACAGCACTTTAAAGGCGGGGCGGCCCCGGACCCCAGCCGGCCTCGGGCGGCTCCCGAAGGGACCCCGCGGGCTCAGCCCAGGCCTCGGAGCGGGGGGCTCACCCCGAGAAACCCCCAGCCTGCTGTCAGGTGGCTCCTGGACCCTCCCCGGTTCCGTTTCCTTTGAATAAAAAACGACTTTGAAAGAAGCCCCGCCTGGGAGCCAGTCGCCTCGGCGCGCCCGGGAGCCGCCGCTCGTTGAGCCGCGCGGACACCCCGCCCCCCCCCGGTGGCCCCGGACCGGCCTTTCGCCGCAGGCCGAGAGCAGCCCTCCCGCGGGGGACGAAACCGGCCCGGCGGCGGCGAAGGCAGCCTCAGCGCAAGCCTGGGGGACCCGCCAGGCACTCGCCCCCCCCCGAGCCAAGGCAGACCCCCCCCCGCCTCTCCAGGTCGGGACCTCCGCTCGAGACCTCGCCCGCTTCTCTCCGCCGCTGACGCCCCCGCTAGACCCAAAGGAGCGGCGCCCCGGAGGCTCTGCCTGGCCCAGGGACCGTCCCGGAGTAGCGCTACCCTGGCCCCGCTCTCCTCTGGAGGCTGCCGGGCCGGTTCAGAGGCTCCCGCTTACAGGCTGCGGCTTGAGGGCTCCCCAAAGGCGGGGTGGGGGTGGTGGTGTTGCCCCGAGACCTTCTGGGCCTCTTCCTCCGCCCTTTAGGCGGTTCAGCCCACTCGCGCCGTTCCCGAGGTCTCCTTCGAGGTCCAGGACTCCAACGGGCGCTTCTCTTTCTGGACCTCTGCATTTTCTAGGGCTGGGGAAGGGGTTTGGGGTGGGCTACACCGATGGTGTGGCCTATGGGAGTCCCCCCTCAAGGGATGGATGTTGGGTAAGGTGATGGTGGGGTGATGGAGAGCACCAGAGGGATGGCAGCTGCAGCTGTGGCACCTGGAGAAACAGCTGGCTGGCGAGAATAACCTGTTTCCTCTGCCCTTTCTTCAAAAAAACGTCACACAGAAAAGCCACTCTCCCCTAGACAGACAGACAGACAGACAGACAGACAGACAGACAGACAGACAGACAGACGGGGTGGGGCTGCTGAGAGGTGGGAGGGCGAGATGCCCCAAAGTCTTTGCGGACTGTATTCAGGTCCTGCCCCTTCTGCAGGGGCAACAAGGGAAAGGGCAGGAAAGCCAGACCATCCGAGTGGGTGGGTGGGAGGAGAGCAGACCTCATCAAGTGGAACCCTGATTTTGGAACCAAAGGCAGATTTGTATTTTAAAGTCAGATTGTTCGCCCTGAGACTTTGGGAAAGACGTGGCCGTGTGATTCTGAAAGAGAAAGGAAGAGTGTGCAAAGAACATGTCTGTGCAGTCAAACACGACTCAGTCTTCCATGTTGATCAGGTGACCCTTTGATTATTTTGAGTTGTGCGTTTTTAGATCAGAAAGCGTGCAGAAAGAGCTTTCTTACTCGCAACTTAGGAATTATCTTCCTATCAGCATTTAGGAACGGATGCTCTGAAAACAACCTTCCCCAGCTCAGAGGTCCTCTGAGTGGGCCTGGATTGAATAGTGAACTTGAACCAATGCCTCAGGTGGTGTAATCACTGCTAGAATGGACTCCTAAACTCACATACCATGGGATGCTATCGTCCGGTAGGTAGTCCTCAGGTTATGGCTACTTGTTCAGTGACTGTTCAAAGTTACAATGGTACTGAACAAAGGGGATTTGTAACCAGCCCCCTTGCGCTCAGGTAATTGTGATTGCAGCACACTGCAGTAAGTCACAGGGGTGTGATTTTTAATGCTCCCCGCTGACTTTCTACAAGCAAAGCCAGTGGCGAAGGTGGCCGAAGGTGGCTCTCGCTGCTCCTTTGCCTTCCTGTGCTCCACAGCACAGTCTCACAGCACCCACCCACGGCCCCCATGCACTGTCCCTACTCTGGAGCACTTGCCTGCGGCAACCTCCACCCCCTACAGCCTCTGCCTGCCCTCCAGAGTGCCCACCTGAACCTCTGCCTGGATACCCACTGGCTGCTTGCCTGGGACTCTTCCTCCTCAATGATCTGCCTGATCCTCGGGTTAGGATGGCAACCAGGACTGCCAGAATTGCCTTCACTAAGCAAAGCAGTCATGTGACATCATGATTTATGACTGCATCACCAAGTGACAGAAATTCCAGCCCCAATTGCTGTTTACCCTGAAGACTCCCCATATCTTTGATGTATCTTTGGGTCCTTTTCTGACCCACACAGGA